AATGATGTGCTCGTTTCCATCTGGACTCCTTTGCGATAGGACGGTACCGATGAATTGGTCACTTGCATCGGTGTCCAGTATAGAAATACCAGCATTTGTGGAGGTATCTGGGCATGCCAGAATAGCGGCGTCACGCAGCCGGTCTCTGAGGTCGATAAAAGCCTGGACTTCACGCTCAATCTACACGAAAGAAGTATTCCGGCGAAGGAGGTTTGTACGCGGTTATTCTAGGTGTGCGAAGCCTGCAATAAATCGATGATATTACGAGGCAAGTCCCAGAGACCAGCAAACGCCTTCAAATGACGTGGGTTGGGGTCACATGCCAATCTGTTCGACCTTCGCGGGGTCACAACGAACGCATTGGGCGTTTCCAGCCCATACCTAGACTCGGCCCACTTGCGGTTGTCTGGTGTGACCGTTCACGGGGGACTTCCTGCCGCACACGCGAGCCAGGCATCTCACAGCTTGTTTTTCGTATGGTGTTAAGGGAGTTTATCCTACCATTGGGAGTTCAGGTTAATCATTTTCCTGAACTAGAATGCAGAGGAACTCTTACCGGATATGATCTACGTTACCTCAAATCAGCAACATTTCGTTGACGTGACCGCCAGTACATGTCAGGTTCGACCACAACTGTGAAATCAGTGCGGTGTCGTTGCGATAACCACTAGTAGTCTCTCTGTAAAGGCGAACCAGGATTAAATCAGCACAAAACTCTACCAGTGTCTTTAACTGCCAAGCATACACGGATAGGGAGCAGGAAGAAGGTGACTTATGGAGGGCGCTTCGCCCTCCCGCCCAGCGAACAGACAACAGTTGTCGACTACTTCAGTTCTGCGCGGATCACCGACTGTTCTTATCTAGCACCAACCTTCTACACAGCTCTCGTCCAACGGCTACATGGTGTTCTAGTTCAACGGGAACGTTGACCGAAATTCAACACAGCTGTAAGTTACCGTTGGCGTCGTTCAGTACAAAACTGCAGATCCTATTGGACCACCTGCGTTGAGTCGGATCATGCATTAGTTCTATTACGCGCCACTCTTCGACTCATCGGTCATCAGCAGAAATCGCCTCAGTTAGCTCATCATCGTTTGCGCTACCCATCTAGCTGCACACGTTCTGGGGGGAATCTGGCTCATAAGCTACGAAAACCGTGACCTAGTGGAGTAGATCAACAGTGGAATTAGATTAGATTTGCGATGCACTCAGCAGAAAACTTTGTTTGTAGGACTGACTCCGAAATTCTCCGAAGATATTAGATCTCTCAGGAGTCGGTAAGCCTGATGGATCAAAAGCGCAAGATCCCAATCTGCCAGGATCAGCATAGGGATCGGTGTCGCCTGCAAAGTCAACTCCGGAGAAGCTTTAAGAAAGATCGCGAAAATTGGTGGGCCCAAATAGCTAGTGAAATGGAGGTAGCTTCTACATCAGGAAATAGTCAAAGGCTATTTCATCTGATACACATCACCGGAGGTCGTCGCATACCGGCCAATGAGACCATTTGCGATAAAAGTGGACAGTATCCACAATAAAGAATAACGACTTGATCGCAGGGCAGAGTATTTTAGTGAACAGTTCGATTGGCCCAGTGCTAATGTGGTCATTTCAGCAATTTCGGCGGAAACCCCATAAGCGGTAACATGTGAGCTCCCATCAGAATCGGAAGTACGAAGGTGCATTCAATCATTAAAGAAGAGAAAGGCAGCCGGGCCTGATGGGCTTCTCCCTATTCTTTTTAAGGTGGGTGGTGATTCTCCTGTTGACTCAATTATTAGCTTAATTCGCAGCATTTGGTAGGAGGAGCGTATCCCTTTGTCCTGAGGTGATTCGTTGATCGTCCCGATCTTCAAGAAGGAATCACGCAATGACCGCGCTAACCACCACGGGATTAGCTGATTTCCGTTAATCACAAAAGTGTTAACTTCTGTGATACTTCATCGCCTGACACCCTTAAAGGAGAGAAATGTCCGCGGACAGCAAGCCGGATCCCGACTAGGTCGTGGTTGCATTGACCGAATCTTCACTCTGCTTCTTGTCGACTCTACTTTCCTCTTTCCTGTCTTCCTCCTACTGTTTACCCACATGGGCAGCCAAAAGACAGTAACCCAAACCGGTGCACGAAACTGCTTCTTTGATAAGTTCCAAACGTTCATCGCATCTTCATCAAGTAGTTGAGCTGAGGCGACGAAGGTCCCTTAGGAGGTCGATTTGTGTTTAGCAGTGGTAAAGGTGTATCTAATGTACCCTATCCTGTATTATTCATAATTTCACCTTTTTCAGTTGGAATACACTAACCCATGAGCTGTCCCGATGGTCAAATCGAGTCTGTGAAGTTCCGATTTTACACACCTGACGAAATAAGATCGCTTTCGGTGCGTCAAATAACAAATGAACTTGTTTTTGATAAATTCACCGGACGGGGTGTTGATGGAGGCTTGCATGACGTGTCATTGGGTTTGTTTTTCGCTTTACACTCACTTTTCTCCGTCTTATCTATGAAGGCCCTAATTCCGAGAGGGATTTGTGTGGACATTGTGGTTTGGATTTTTTCGCATGTCCTGGACATTTTGGCCATATTGAATTTTCCAAACCAGTCTTCAACCCTATGTTCTTCGACATTCTGTACAAGGTAAACCTATACTATCAAATTTCTACATTTGATGCCATAGCTCATGAAGTCGTTTTGCTTTGGTTGTTTTCGTTTGTATAGTGTGGATTATCTTGCGGCTGCATTGCATTACTTGGGAGCGCCTGGTAAGCTCGACTAAGTGCAATAGCATTTGTCTTCCACAGCATTTACGCTACCCGGAAAACCGAAGCAAACAGATCTGGCTGAGTTAGAAGGAGTGACACCGGACGAGCTGAGGTCACTTGGAATACGTGTGTTGGCGTCTAGACCACGTACCCCTTGCAAGTTGTGCTGCAGCAGAGCTTGGGTGGTGAGGCACGTAAATAAACAACAAATACTCATACGTCCAGTCTCGGAGAATGCACGACAACGAAGTACTAAAGCTGAAATCACACAAAAGTAAGCAGGTGAAATCTTTCACGTCAATTCCTTTCGTGTTTTATTCATTTAATTTTTTCCCTCACGTCATCTTTCAGGTACTACATGAAATTCACACTGAAATTTGCTTTGGTCATCTCAATGAAAAATAGAACAATTCTTATCAACTTTCCTCATTTTCTTTATGTGGCTGATATTTTGCACCGTGAGTGATGGCAAACCAACAGGAAACCACAGGAAAGACGTGGTATACTGGTATACTGGCAAACGTAGCAGTTGCATGTGTATTATAGCTATGGTTGGGTTGTCATGCCACAGAAGTTGGAGTTTTGATAGCTTTTTGATGGAAGAATTTTCTGTTTTATTCCAGTGAAGATGAAGACGCGCTGAAAATGTTGGCTGATGCAGAAGACCCCCGCATGGCTCCGCATTGTTCCGCCTCTGCGAGTGAAACAGGAAATTTGTTTGTCGACACTTCCTCCTCAATCCAGAAAGACATGGAAGCCAAACAATGTGTCTTGCTTGAAACTGCACGTCAGGACATTCAGAATATTATGAAATCTTGTCGTGGATCAAAGGAGACTTCATTACTTCCGGGTGCGTACCAAGTATTTCACATTTTCACATTACATCTAATTTGAAACGGGATTCTAAAGCGCACATTTTTGATTGCATTCCCGTTGAGGTCCCACAGCAACCAAAACTGGCACACAAAAGTGCGTGGCTAATGGTTGCACAAACTAAACTGAACTAAAGTTCCACAGAAGACAAGTGAATCTTCGTTCACGCCAACGACCACACGGTGTGATCATGGTTACTTTTGTGCACCAGCATATCGCCATTGAGTTTTTGGACGGTGCATTACGTCTCCAATAGGACAAACCTCGAGATTAGATCCAAATCTCGAATTTATTTGGCTTAATCTACTTCGCTACGCTCAGCACATCCCCTCTGGTAGGGTATCTCAGTGAAAGATGGCCGTGAAGAGTGTAATTTAAGTGTATATTTACCTAAGCCCTGATTGTAGGCCAAAAAGGATCCTGGGACAAATATATTCATGATATACATCCATGATTCGCTCGCGAACATGATACCTCTAGGCTATTCATGCCAAGCGGATAATAATCTTCGGTTAACCGTAGTTTTACCCCAATAACAGCCGAAATACGCTTTCCTGCTCCCCCGTGTTGCCTCGGGGTACATAAGAGCTCTCGCTTAGTAAATAACGGATCCTAGGCTAACGACAGACTCACTCAACAGATAGTAAAAGCAGAAAACTAATATCGCATTTTCCCCATGGACTAGTTTTTTCTGAACATTCTATTAAACTTACTGGAGTCGAACTTAAATCATGGTTTTTAGAAGCGCTAGAATCCTCCGTATTTTCGCCTTTTCCTCCATCACAGTTCCACAGAAATTATTTTTCCATTGACTCCGTCCTGTTGACCAAGGTGACTAGTTTCCCATAGGATCTGTTCTCAACTCTATGACCAGTGTTTTCTCATAGCAATTATTCTTTGTGTAGGATACCATGTTTATCGATACATTTACTTCCCCGAACATGTTTTAGAAATGGCTCAACGAATGCTTCGTTGTTTGTGGCTGAACGAATCAGTCATTCTGGGTTTGCTTATCCCAATGCTCAATTCCGCTGCCAGGCACCACCAGTATGCTACCGACATTCTCTTCATGGATAGCGTACTCGTATCACCTTCCCTCTGTCGACTGGTGAGTTCGTTCTCCCTACCACTTCGTTCCTGTTCCTTTGGTATAGTAATTTATTTACTTGGTCCATTGTATGTGTAGTCCACAGAGCACGTTTCAAACAAAAGATTGATGAACACGCTCGTTTCCATTGTGTAATCATGTCAGTGCATCACAAAATATGTCACTAATTACAAATGGAATTCACATTCAACTCACGGCTACTTCTGAGTAGTGGTGTGAGATATCTAAAATTCATTTGAACTGAACATCCTTCTGGAGTATGCTGACCATATTGTACTGCTAAGTGAAGACCCAGGTAAATTGCGAGCTTTCTGGATTGTTTGAGTGCTACTGTAGCCTTGCTTTGTATGCGTTTTGAACCTTCAAAGTGTAAAATACTGCTACAAGATTGGGTTGGTCCAGCACCCAGCCTCATTCTAATCAGCAAAATACAGAAAAGCAAACTTCACTGATCGCTGCCAAACTTACAATGCATATGCATTGGGGTTTGATGGACGGGTACCGCCACTAAGCAGGAGAACGATTAGGGCTCTCAGCCAAGGCCTTTAATTCTGACAAGAATCTAGCCGCAAGGCATCGGGTGAAGTGAAGTGGAGGCCCATTTACTTGGATCAATTACTCCACTATCTTTTACCGACTGAAACGCTAATTCTGGTCGAACCCCCAACCTGGAGGACCAGGAGACTGAACTTCGTCCAACCTCTACTCTTTCACCTTCCAATAGTGATTGGATCTTCGGCTTGATAAGAGCCATCCTGCGTAGCTCGTTGGGTTAGAGACGTGCACAAGCCATCACGCCACGTCAAGGTGCAATCTCGTCTGACCGGGAAAGTAATATAGCAAGTGGATAATTTTTGTTATTTGGGAAGCTGCATCTCACTCGGTGGACGCATCACGGATGAAGTGTCAGCTGGCATACAAGAGGCTCGACTGGAATTTGCTAACTCCAGACATCTATGGTGCCGTCGCGACATTCAGTTGTCTGTGAAAGGTCGAGTGTATGCTGCAGCAGTTCGGTCAGTTCTGCTACGCGGCGCAGAAACTTGGCCATTAAGGAAGCAGGATAAAGATAGACTGTCTGTTTGGACACCATTGTCTATACAGCATTGCACGAATCTGGTGTGCCAGCCGGTTGGGCAATTTTGAGTTTAGGCGCAGAGTTTTGGTCAATCGCGGTCGCCCACTGGAGCAAGTGATCGACCTCCATAAATTACGCTTGTTGGGACGTGTTGTGCATGTCATCAGATAGGTTGCCACGGTGAGGGGTGTTGTATTGTATTGTGAAACAGAAGTTTTGATTTTTATGAACGGTAAAGCTTTTGATTGGTTGACCTCAGTAGTTGAAAACTGAGTAGTATCCCATGAGTAGCGCAAACAGTATGTCGTATGATTTGGGAGTGAGAAGAAGAACTAAACAGATAGGGGCTTTTCTAAATTCGTACCTGAGATTCCGAAGTACGACATACTTCGCGGTAGCCCAACAAAGGGGTGTTACTTCAGGAATCCTGATTGGACCCTTCGACTTGAAAGTCTGATACACAAGGCACCAGAGTGGTTTCTAAAACACTGCACACCATCGTCTCCAGCAGTTCGACCATATTCTCTGGCTTCCCTTTACGAAACCTCCGATAAGTCTCTTTCCGACATTGTGTTAGGAGTGATAGTATTGTCTTGACGGTCAGTAAATGATGTAGATCAGCAAAAACAAAGTGTCTTGGTCTCCGAAGTTGTACACAGATTTGAACGTTGTCTTAGTAATATCTGTTTTATTCCTAATAGAATACAAAACGTGTACGGAATGCTTTTACCGCACTCTTCTAATCGAGTGATATAAACGATCACCTGATGATCAAACAACAATCAACAATCTCTGCTGTTTAGAGATATAAATCATCGCTCAAACTTACTTTCAGTTAGTTTTTAGCGTGATGATTCAATTCAATCGAAATCTATTTCCCCATTCCTGATAGCAGAAATTTGATTTACTGCAGGAATTCAAATTCCCATAGAACGGCACATTACAGTTATTCAGCGCACTTTCTCGTTTGTTTGCGAATAGATTCCAACTAGATTGAATGACGAATCTGGGGAGCGTCGTGTTTATTCGACAGAAACTCATTTTCATTAACCTTCAAGCTTCATTGTGCGGATACTGACCCGTTATCCAGAAACGAAACCTCGATCAACATTCTTTCTCCTCAGTCACTCGTTCTCGGCCTATTTTGACCAGCTAGTGGAAATTCTTTTCATTTTAAAATTCGTCCCTTCCGTTTTTTGCATTACTGTTGATTAATGCAGCCTCGTTACGTGGGAGGTTTGGCCTACGAGCATCCAGAGACCGCGATCTATTCCCGTGTAGTCAAACGAGCCGAATGTCTGTGTCATATTGTGAATTATATCAACCAACAGTCAACGTCGATCGATTCTAACCCGGACCAGTCAATCACTGCAGATCTGTCCACTGTATCCGAAATATCCACTGTCAATTCGGTCTCTCGAGCCGAGGGTGCTCTGAAACTGGCCAGTCTATTTCTTCAAGCCGCGGTGAATGGCCTGTATGACAGCAATGCAACTACCGTTCCTACTGGTTTGGAGTCCAAATCAGGTGTCGGTGCCGCCGTACGATTGCCTGGGCTTAGGCAAAGGTTGGAAAAAAAGGAAGGCTTGTTTCGTATGCATATGATGGGTAAACGTGTAAATTACGCCTGTCGTTCGGTCATTAGCCCTGATCCGAATTTGGATGTCACCGAGGTATGCACCTTTTGATCTATGACCTTATCCAGCGCAACTTTTTTTAGCTACTTGACTATTTGGTAGTAGTATGGTGCGAAACTAGCGTACGTTCTGCTGTTTATGCTTTCAATGAACTTTTAACTAATGAGAACTGTCGGTAAAAACGTCGTTTTGTGAAATCGGGTCGTCAGTCGGAATTCGTGCAACGTATAAATCCATAATACAGGTGATTGATATGCAAACACGGAGGATTGCAATGATAGCGGGGCGTGCGACGTAAAACAGGATCCACTTAGCAATTGCTCAAATAGGCGAATGTCGGCAACCTAAAAGTCGAACAGATGACTCTTAAATAACATAGTGGAATAGAACTAAGTGTCACAGAAATATGGCGGGCACAAACTTGCAGTTTTCGCATTTCGCAGTTGACAACTCCCTCCTGTTGACTACAGAGCTTACTCCATTCCACTGTCCACCATCTAGTGACGTGTTTAATAAAAAGAGAACGGAAAACCTTTCTGGTTGGCTGCAGCTTTTTGTTTGTGGTAATTCCAGTTAAATGTCCCTGCAACCTTACTCTCTATGAATTCTCTGTTTTCACTCAGAAACTGATATAGGCATTTCAGTTTTCCGTTTGCTCCTTCATCCAGTTAGACAGTCATGAGACAGCAACCGGAACCGGTGCACAAAGGTGCATGGTCAGTGGTTGTGAAAAATGAGNAACTGAGTTTGATTATCTTAAGAATCCATTGCAGTTTGCTCGTTTTTCCCATTTCTTTTTGAACTGCATTGAGATTTCGTCTGATTTTAGAAATTTTGTTGGTATGCTTGTAAAATAACTGTTCAATCAACGAACTTAGAGGAGAGTTACTGAAGTTAATAAATAGTAAAGGGTTGATGAAAACAGTGAGCGCATGCATAACGCAAAGTGATCTGTCATAGAAAAACGTCACTAAATGGCAGACATCATTACCGGTAACCATGTTTCAAATTCCGTAACCGAACCATGATCTTGGGAAATCCGATTCGCGAGTTTTTCCAGCTCCCATTTCTCCACTTGTATTGTTTTAAACTTATTGTGAAGTGTTGTTTACCTGGGGTGAGGGGAGATCCCGGTACGAGTTTGCCCCACCGGAATCACTCGTCTATTTCTCACACGTGTATTTCAGGTCGGAGTTCCGCTGTTTTTCGCACGAAAACTAACGTTTCCCGTCCCCGTGACTAAATTCAACTTGGATCGCTTGCGTCAACTTGTCACGAACGGACCGGATAAATACCCAGGCGCTCGAAGCTTAGAAACACCGGATGGTCGACTGTTGCATTTACCCAACGGTACTTCAAGTCAATCTGAGCGGCGAAGGGCAGTGATTGCGCGTCGACTTGCTCCATTAAACGCGGATTGTTCGGGAGTTCCCTTCATTGTGAGTGTTGGATGAATTCCCTCTACTCTGCTATCTCGAGACAGCCCTGTCAAATTTGGACTTATTCGTCGTGTGTTTGCCACTGACGAATTTCAGTTGATCCTATGAAAGTTACAACGCTCTATTTGTCGTTAGTGGGAGAGAAAAAGGAAGGGCAAACTTTTTTGCACAGTGAGCGGTACGTGTTTTGTATTCATAGGGATGCTATGGTGCAGTATGACGACCTACTGTGTTAAACACAGCATTCCCTCAGTCGGTAGCAGAGCTGTTTACCATCGATAAGAGTTCCCGCTCGAACTGTTTGAATCAAGATGTTTCAATGGTAATCCAGCTGATTACTGAGCGTTTGTCGTTCAGAAGTAAATAGTTTCACGAGAACTGTTCCGTTAATTGCACCGAAAACCTATCACGAACTTGGTCTTCGATTAGTTTTTTGTTGAACTTTTGAACTTGCTATATCTATGGCAAATTCATCTGGAATCAATCCTGAAGCTACGGGTCCATCTCATGGACACTAGTACCGTGGTAAAATTGTCGCCTTCCACTTTTGGTTCATCTTCTCTCTCTGTCCCTCAGGTACATCGTCATTTGATGGAAGGAGATATGCTTCTGATGAATCGACAGCCTACTTTGCACAAACCTTCAATGCAGGCTCATCATGTCCGCATCATTTATTCGTCGGGAGCTAAAACATTGCGCATGCATTACTCCAATTGTCGTGCCTACAATGCCGATTTTGACGGGGATGAAATGAACGGACATTTGGTGCAGAGTTATGCTGCTCAAGCAGAACTGGAACTCTTAGGTGAATTTGTCTTTTTTTGGCCCTTCATTCTTCATCATGCATCATTAATTCTTGCTTCTCTCAATATTTATGTTATGATTCCAGTCTGCGGTTTTGCAAATTGCACTGATCTACCATCTCACATTTTTCTCGTGATCGCCAAAGACTTGGGATCACTCATATTTTCCACCCAGTTTTCATCATAGGAACAGTATAACGGTTATTGCTTATATGGTAGTCACCGAGTTCACAGTCTATCAGAAAGTGCGGACACATTGTATTACTGAATTAGTATAGAGGCTGTGCAGTATCATTACTACCACTACTATACCTTCCTTTTCTCTTTACTCAACTCGAGCAGCGAGTCACATATAATCGCATGACTTACCTTGGCAAATCATTACAAAAGGCAACGCACAGCGTCATGTTTCATCCTTGGCCGCAGTGCTCCCATAATTTAGTCTGATTCACTCCGATATTTTTGTCATCATAAATTCCGTGTTCAACAGTATTCTGCAGTTTATTGCATTTCTTCACTGAGAATACGTTTTGGTCTTATTGCATCAAAACTTCCGAACATTGTTTCATCGAAATTAAATGGTAAACATTTACTGCCACTTGAATTTCGACCTGCGATCAATACGCATTTATCTTTTTTTCACTTACAGCTTCTGTTCCACATCATTACCTGGTCCCTAAGGACGGTTCTCCTCTGGCCGGTTTAATTCAGGACCACGTGATCGCTGCGGTCAAACTGACTATGCGTGATCGTTTCTTTGATCATTCTGACTACATGGACTTAGTCTACCACTCCGTGCGGTCCATATTCAATGTGGCTCGCCGGTCCGGGAGTGGTCCTCCGGCTCTAGTTACCCTACCACCGGCCATTCTCTGGCCAAAACGATTGTGGACCGGCAAACAGGTCAGTGGATTGATGGTTTTTATCATGAAAGCCATAGTAATTTGATGAGCGGTCTTTGGGCGGGAGGAATTTGTGTGATGAAAAAAATAGTTGATAGTGGCTCGATTTATCACCCCCGTTTAATTTTTGTCCCGAACTTGTTATATAAAGTAAGCGACACGGTTTTTTCTCACTACCGCTTATTATTCCTCACGTCGTGTAACTGGTATGAGGTTTTCTCATTTAGTAACACAGTTTGGTGATGCTAGTTGAATAAGTTTGAGTTTTTTTCTTGTGTGTTATACTCTAATTCCCCCAAGGGGCTTCATACACCATTGGTTTTGATCTTAATTGGTCTCCTCTGTGTTCCGTTTATCACCGTATTGTCCCCCCCCGTCGTGTTTAGGTTATTTCCACACTTTTAATGAATCTAACCCCTGCTGGACTACCGTATTTGAATCTGACCTTGCGTGGGCGTCGTACCAAAGCCGAGCTGTGGTCCGGTGCCGCACCTGGGCAACCGACTCCGTTGAGTGATGTCGATGTTGTGGTCTGTGATGGTTATCTAGCTTCGGGGATGCTAGACAAAGCACATATAGGATCTTCATCCGGTGGTCTAGTTCATTGTGTATACGAGGCGTACGGGCCGGAATCAGCCGCTCATTTGTTGAATGGGATCAACCTGTTGGCGAATCAGCTCTTGAAAATCACCGCATTTACCATGGGTATCAAGGATATGCTGTTGTCTGCCGAGGCGAATGCCGATCGGACGCGTAGGTTTGAAAATTTGAAGGACTTGGGTTTGTGCGCGTTTGCGGATGCGTTCGAATTGACTGCAGATCAATTATCTGAACAGGAGGTTCGTCGAATGTACCGGAAAGCCCATTTTGCTCCGAGCACAGATCAGACCTTGTCCAAGCGTATGGTTCAGCTGGATTTGGCGATGAAAAATCGTCTGAAGAGAGCCCAAGATGCGGTCTGCGAGTGAGTTATCGAGCTGCCACAATCACATGATCTGTTGCATTTCGATTGTTGTGATTTATTTCATCTGTGTCCGGTGTTGTTAAACTCATGTAATAACAAAACACATGTATGATTTTTATTGGATATCATGAATATAAATGAGCATAATAAGCATGGGACGCAGGATAAGAGATTCATTGATCAACAGAACTGGATTACAGGGAGAGATTACTCCTATAATCACATTCAAATTGTTTGAGGTTTCATGCAGTTGGTTAACTATGACTATGGTTGACGATTCGTATCCCACATTTAATAGGGCGCGTCTTACCCCTTTTTATGCCTTCTAATAAACCCCACGACAAAGATAGTGTGCTTATCTCCGCTCCCACATGCAAAATCATTTTTGCGAATCTAGACGACAGCCGCATGTAAAGCCGGAATCGAATCAGCTTATCTTTTTAGTGAAAACTGAAAAAACCCACTTCCATCCCCTACGGACTTCACCTATTCAACTGGGTTAAAAAATGGATGCGCCTCTCCTCTGGCATTTGTAACTCGCAGTGACAACTGATGAGCCGGTTGTTGACAGACTAATATGTGATGCGGGAACAGCAAAACACTTTTTATTAATGGACTGGAGGTCAAACGAAGTCTTCGTAAAAAGACAACCGCAGGTCGCCGCGTATTGCGTCAAACTGCTGCGTGAAAGGTAAGAGCGGTACTGGAATTGGATGTTTCGGTGCAAACGAAACAACCATCACCTGAAACGGTCCCCAGTATGAAGTCAAAGTTGATGATGAGGCGCATAACTCTAACAACTTTACAAAGAAAAAACGTTTATTCTAGGTTGAAACTCACGTAACTTGGAGAAACCAACAGAATTTCGCCTACTCTGACTACGAAAATATATATAATACGGATGAGCCCGACATTACTGGACTAATCTGCAGAAAAAACAGCGGTACTTCATCATGTGGATTAACGATTAAAGCTCCGTTTCCGAATGCGTCAACGGATCGAACGAACTACGTGAGATTCCGCTGTACATATCCGTACGCTAGACCGGCACCTTATGCCAACAATGGCAATAGTTATACGGAAGTCAGTCTCCAACGTGATAAGACTGCGGTTCGTAACTCGTATCAAGGTAAATACTGGTCATTATTTGGCAGAATCAGAACAGTAATGTGGTGTGCTTTCAGCTCAAAACTGAGGCCAATAGAAAGCTTTCAGTTTATTCCTACCTAAGAGATGAGCCGAGACGCAAATATTTACATCACAAAATATGAAATAAGAGCGTCCTTGGTGAGAGAGTTGAATAATCTAGACGACGATATAATTTGAAATCTATGAAGTATACCGAAAAGGTGGATGGATGTTTTAAAACGGATTGGCCAATGCATTTGTCACAAAACTGGCTTCACTGATAAAAGTGCAATACTTTTGCCTGAATAAAAATAGCGTTTTTCCGATTTATTTTCACTAAAATAAAAGCTAACTTGACGAAGTTTTGTATTTAGGCTTTTCTTTCATTTGCTAACTATATTCAAGAAAATGGTGATGATCACACATCTATGGGCGAAATAAAAGTATTGTGTATGAGAGAGAGAGAGAGAGAGGAATGGGGAGGGGTATGGTACTTCTGTCCCGGGGCGTACTGCGCTCGTTGGACATACACACTGGATTCCATTAGCGAACTTAACCAACTACTGACAACCAGTGTTTGAAAAAAAATGTTGGATGGTTAACCAAATTCCTATGTGTTTTGACCGCTGTTCTCTGCCGTGTTGGGCACTTCCCTTTCATATACGTCCAATGTCTGCTATTCTTTTTTCTCTCAGCGCGGCAATCCCCGGTGGTCTGTATGTTGGGTTTCCGGAGAACAATTTGCAACTCATGGTACATGTCGGTGCGAAAGGTGGAATGGTGAGTGATTCCCTTCATTGTTGTATTCTGTTTATATACAGGTATTAACCAAACTCGTGCAACATCATGACTTTTCCCAAATCTACTTATCTCATTGCCAAACGTTTTGATCCTTATGCACGGGCATGTGCATGGTATTACCCTAGGTCACTCTCAAAAGTTTTATAGTACTAATAAATTATATGGTTGCTTCTTTTGGCCGAGCGCGTTAGAAAAGTACAATTTCTCCATTTC